TAAACGCCGTAATCGACCACACACGCACAAGGCGAGGAAGCGATGATTCAAGCAGGGAAGCAGACAAGTAAGCAGCATAGGCAGTGGCGTTGAGAGACAGGAGCAGGAGAAATACAAAAGCGGAGAACGAAATGCATGGGCAGCATGCTATTGTGACTAAACCTCGCCATAAGCGGGCACAGATGTTACAGACGGGGTTTGACTGGTGTGGAGCGTTGTGTCGCCTTCCGACAACGCATCAATCCTCAACAGCCAAGCAACAAACTCATTGAAAGAGCATGACCAGGGCTTTGGGATTCTGTACCACGCAATGGGCAGATGTGACGTGTGTATGTGAGTATGTGTGTGATATGTGTGTGTGTGGTATGTGTGTGATGTGTGTGTGTGTGCAATATTATGAGGGAGGGAGTGAGAACGATGCATGGAAGTGGCTGAGACTGATGTTCCCATCCGATAAAACCCGTAGCAAATGCAATACCACCCCCCCCCCTCCAGCCCACTTCCCGAACACGCACGCACACACACGTACGGATCTGCGGGGCGAATTTGCTTGAGCTGGCAGTAACAGACGGCCGGGTCTGGGTGCACGTTGGCGTAGGAATGGCCAACTAGATCCAGGTGTAGCAGCTTGAAGCTCGGGCCATCCAAGACGCCTGCTCGCTGCACGTCGTAGAACTGAAACACACACACACACACACACACACACACACACACACACACACACGTTTCCACGCAGAGTTGCACGTCAACATGACGCACGCTTTCCACAACGCCGAATATCTCCATGTACACGTGTACATCGTGGTACGCACCCACCACGCCATCATACACACAACATACACACACGGAGCACGCAACCAGCGAGGTCGGGCACAGTTACCTGGAAGTACGCGACGGCCTGTGTGAAGAGGCGGCGGCGTGATTTGGTTGCGTAGACGGCGTTGAGAAACGCCCCCTCAGACCGCCACCACGCAACAAACTGCTTGCGGGACATGTACCGCTGCTGATTCGCCTGTGACGTCATCCCCCGGTTTGCATTGTGGTTGCATGATGCATATCATTATTCGCATATGTTCGTGTGGTTGGGTCACAGGTCAGCACGAGACATTGCTGGCAGGTGTGTTGGCGCAAGCATGTGTCCCCCCAATGCCGCACACACATACACACACGCACCACACTGAGGAAGATGTCATCATTGGCGATGAAGAGGCCGAGCTCATAGCACAGCTCCCGAAACTCCCTCGCCGTGAGATGCTCCGGCTGTGTGTGTGTGTGTGTGTGTGTGTGTGTGTGTGTGTGTGTGTGTGTGTGTGTGTGTGTGTGTGTGAATGTGCGCGCATGTGTGTAAATGCGTATGCATGTGTGTAAATGCATGTGCATGTGTGTAAATGCGTGTGAATCAGTGTACACGTGTGAACGAATATGTGGCGGCTGCAAACTAATAATTGACACAGGAGCATGACGACCCTAGCCATATGGCATATTCGCAGCACCTGTGTGTCTGCGTGTGTGCCAAAGAGAGCGTTGCCCATCTGCACGTGCGCGTGTACGGGCGCAGGTGATTTTCGCGACCGCCGTTGCTGTTGTGTCAACACGCAAAGCATAGCAGGAGATACGAGTGGAGATACGAGTGCGTGGGTGCGTGAGTGTTGCGAAGAAGTAGAGAGAGAGTGTGTGTGTGCGTGTGCGTATGTGTTCACGAGCAGCTTGAAGTGGGAACAACAAAACGAGGTTCCTGGCACAGACCAGTAACACCAACAAAACACACCACCACACACGCACACATGCACACACACATAGCACACAAACATGCACACATACACACACAGCATACGCGCATGCATTGCACCTGTGCCATCGATCTGCATCGCGCTGTTGACATGGATTCGCGCATCATGCTCTTGCGCAACATCTGCGTTAGACTGTCGGCAGACATCCTGAGAACGCAATTGACGATTGAAAGGAGAGCGGGTTGGGATGAGACACGGGTCATGGTGAGCACAGCACACATTGCCATCACGAATCCGAAGATCAACAGCAACCATGACGTCCATCATCATTACCCGCCACCATCATCACCATCAGCACCACCGCAACCATTGCCATGTCATCACCACCACAACCGCCCGCACTCTTGGCAGGAACAAGGCAAGCAGGCCTCAACGTACTCGCTGCTGCTCAGCGGATCTGCGTCGCTGTCGGGATCAATGCCCATGAATTCAAGGACTGAAGCAACGTCACCGCCGTGGGACTGCCGCAGCTGCCAATCCAAGCGGTGCACCATCGCAGCACACCATCGTTATGAGCATTTGTAAGGGGCGAAGAACGACAGCAAGACGGTGGCGGAGTAGAGGGTGTAAGTTCACGTGATGTGCGCGCACACGAAAACACCCCCGCCCACGCGCATCCACTACACCCACGCACATTCATAAACACGATTTACGCGCACACGCACCCCACCTCGAGTGCTTTCCTGGACAGCTCCTCGGTTGGCGATATGAGCGGTCCCTCCAAATCCGTTCCATCTAATGCGACGGACACCGGCAGTCAGAGAAAGGGGCGAGGGTCAGAGGGTGTGGCAGATCAACAAGCAGTGTATACACACGCACACATGTACATGGCACACGCACACATGTACATGCACATGCTCATGAGTACATGGGCAGTGTGTTTCACATGCACCTGTGTCGTGAGTGATCGTCGGCACCGGTAATCGTGGCGGCGACTGCAAGGATGCAAGATGGGCGTTGATGTGGATGTGAGAGGGATATACCATCAACAACTAGACGCAGCCAAGCAACCACGGTGGCGGACGGCCCGAGCAGCCAGCAACACACGGTAGCAGACGGCCCGAGCAGCCAGCGACACACGGTAGCAGACGGCCCGAGCAGCCAGCGACACACGGTGAGGCTGCGCCCACGTCACTCTCTTCCTTCTCCCTCCCCTCCCCCCTCCCGCACCACCACGACAGGTGAGTGTGCACCTTGAGGAAGACGTCGATGCAGTCCTCGGGCGGGATGTCTGGCGGTGTCAGTTCCTGGCGCAGCTCCGCCCAGTGGTCCAATAGATACTGCACACACAATGCATACGCACATGCATGCACGCAGACATGCACACAAATACACAAAGAAATGAGCAACACAACACGATGCGAGTGATGATGGCCATGCTAATAATGAGTGTGGAATCGGTGTGAAGTTGTGCGACGCGCATCGTCCAAGCTCAAACATGCACAACACACACACACACATACACACGTGCAAGACATGTGTTTGCAACTGGACCGCACTTGTGTGACGGCGTTTTGCCGCTCGACGCTGTACGCCTCCATTGCCCGCTCGTCCGTCTGTGCAGCAGAGCAACAACACGCGGGCATGCTACATGGGTCTGGGCAACCGTCGTGTGTTGCTCCGCGTGGACACAGTGCCACGCGCATTTCATGTGCACGCATACACTCATGCAACACGCGCACAGTGACACGCACGCACACACGCACGCAGACACACACACACACACACACACACACACACACACACACACACACACACACACACACACACACACACACACACACACACACACACGAACCTCTGCTGGGGTGAAGAGCGAAGGGCCAAGACACGTGGCGAGACTTGGAGACGTCATCTTGTTGGCGCCGGAAAACGACAGTACATGTGTCCAGTGGTCCAACAGGTACACGGCTGTGTCATAGTTTGCCTTTGGAAGTGCCATAATCGTTCCTATCCCACATTCATTTGACCATGGGCGTTAACGCAACGACACGCGCCGACGTTGTCTTCTTGCTCCCTCTGGCCCACACAACTGCGCTCACAAATGCGCGCACAAGTGCACACACAAAACCACACAAATGCAAATACAACAGCACACATACATAGACACCCACACGTGCAACAGCAGCTGCTGCTGGTGCCCGACCTTGTAGGAAACGGAGGCGTGCGGCGTGTGTGACCTGCTTCCCTGCTGCCTCCATGAACATGGGATACAAGTCTGACGTGAATAGCGGCTCGGGCAGCTCGCGAAGATACGCTTTGAGCAGCGACGCAACTGTGCTCACATTTGGCACAGCGTCCCCGTCCAACTGCGTGCACATGTGAAGAGGAGAGCAGAATGAGAGTACGGTAGAGCTCGGTGCGTGTGTGCGTGTAAGCGTGTGTATAAGCGTGTGTGTAAGCGCGCGTGTGTGTAGGCGTGGGTGTGAGCGTGTGTGTATGCACGTGTGTGTGTATACAAATACACGAAGAAATGTGTTGAGCCGTCGTACATAGCCACTGCCACAATCCTCGCGGTCTGTTGTCACTTCAACACTTCTCCCTACCCCCTTTCCCTTGATCAACGGCAGCAGCGTGGTCACAGCCAAGCGACGAAGGTGGTTCACGTACACATGCTGTCTGTGGGTCGTCATTAAACTGCTCCTTCAAGTGCCGTAGAATGCGCGCGTTTCCCGCCACACGATACAGCCCCAACTCCTGTGCAGAGAGAGAGAGAGAGAGAGCGAGCGTGTGTGTGAGTGTGAGCGTGTGTGTTAGTGTGTGTGAGTGAGTGAGTGTGTGTACTTGTGCGTGTATGTGTGACAACACAAACACAGCATACGCGTGTGAACGAAATTCATGTCATGCTGGGTGTGGATAAGCTGAGCACGTAGTCGTGTGGGGTTGCAATTCTAACACAACCGCTGCTCTAAACCCACACACGCGCACACGCACACACACACACACAAGCATACACACACACAAGCACACACAAGCACACACATGGCCAACGGACCTCGAGTCCTCTCTCCTCAATCTCCTTGACGCAACGTGTCACTATCTTCGGGATCGAGCGGCCTGGTGGCACGAAGAAACAACACGTGAAGAGGAGGGGCCGAGTGGATTGAGGATTGTTGTTCACGCGTGTCAACATTTGCATCCACGTACGCAAAAAAGTACACACACGGACACAAACAAGTACACACCCACACATATCCAGACACGCGTGCGCGCTGTTCGCATACGCGCGGCGCACCTTCTCGCCTGCAGACGTCTTCGATGGGCAGTCCAAAGAGCGAAGACATGTCCAGGAAGGTGATGCACAGGTGCAGTCGCCCTGTGCACACCATGACGGGTAGACAGGTGGACAGGTGGTGTGGAAGGAAGAAAGCAGTGGTGAGAGACCGGACGCCGCCGAAAGGAGACCTAGTTCATTGCGAAGCAGAAAGACAGCACACACGCACACACACACACGCACACACACACACGCACACACACACACACGCACACACACACACACGCATGGTCGCACCTTTTGGGGAGAGCTCGAGCGTCATGTAGTGTGCCTCACCATCAATGAGTGTGTGCATGTCCACCACAGCCCGGGCGATCGTTTTCGTCTTCCCCAGTCGGCTCCAATGCCTCACTGGTGGCGTCAAGCGCGCAGCCCGGCACAGCAGCGTTTGAAGAAACGCACACACACACACACACACACACACACACACACACACACAGACACACGATGCGAATTGATGCATCACACAGCACGGAGTAAGCACGTGCGTACGTAGAGCGTGGTGTGCAAGTGATGCGGTGGTAGATCAAAGACGGCAAACACTTGTGTCGCCCTCTCTGCCGCGCTTGAATGCAAACACGTGTGGGCGTGTACATGAGCACTGCCACCATTGTTCTTACCACTGAGTTCCAGTGCTTCCCCACTCTCAACGTCTGGCAAATCGAGGTCTTCATGCCACTGCGGCGACGCTGTCCGCTTCCTCACACCAGTCTTGAATCCCTGTGACACACGCACACACGCACACACACACGCACACACACACGTGTCAGCGTTGCCAGCGAAGACACACAAGGTTCACCGAACCGAGGAAGACACAAACGGACACGCAGTCCGGCATCCACTTGCATGTGAACATGGCCATAAGTTCCTCTTGTACTGGCAGCATCTACATGTGTTGGCCGTGCTCGTGTGTGTGTGTGTGTAGATACACGGCCCCCAGTGCTGCCCATACCTTCGATCGGCCGCCTCCTGGAGAGACGATGTGGACGACGCAGTATGGGTCGTATGGGGACGATGATCCGCTGGAGGTCGGGAGCCCATCAGCAGCGATGATGGTGACGGACAGCTCTCCTCGCAACCCGCCTGGGGCCTGGAAATCTGTTGAGGAGCGACTCAAGCCCTGAAACGTGGTGCACACATCCGCGTGTTGGTTGTTGTGGAAGGGAATTTGAGCATGTGGATGAGCCAGGTTTCAGCAGCGGCGCGCACACACACACGCATATGAAGCGAGGAACTCCACTCCAAATGTGGCACACGCCACATGCATCGGCATCAAGATACGAGTGCCTTTTCTCGTCGTTCTCAACAAGAATCAAGCTCAGGGATCCCCTCCTCTCGCCACGTTCTGTTCCCAATTTCTGAAAGCGTGGTGGCATTTGCAGTGCCACAAGTGCCATGCAAAGGGCATCAAGTGCAACGTACCCATAGCTTGTTCTTCAAGCCCTGGAGCCGCTTCTTTCCTTCGGCCATTCCTCGTTTCTTGGTCGCCTTCTGGTCGCTCGCAAGCCTCAACATCAACACTGTTGCTGTCGCGCACAAGGCCGGCGAATCCCCTGTGCAATCACATCAACAAAACAGGCAACACAACATGTGTCAATGCAAAACAGCTTGCGCACCAACCGTGCTGAGTTGGCGGCTGTCAAGAAGGCGAAACAACCACAATCACGCTCACAAAATCACGCAACCACATGGCTACCACCAGCAACGACAACAACAGCAGCAGCAGCAGCGGTGACAGCTCGCACTCGAGGGAAGACAGGCGACTGCAACACCAACTCACCCGCACACGTTGGCTGGGAGGACGCTCGGTTGGAATCGAAAAAAATTCCCAAATTGGCCACAGCAGTTGTTGGCGATTTGTTGAAATATTCATGTAATTTTCGTCAAATCAAGGCAACAAACGACGACACAACAGCTGGCCAACAAGAGATGGTGCGTGCACCAGCTGATGTTGCCGTGTGGCTGTGTTCTGATTGTGCGTGTCTACGCTTTGAACGAACGGGACGCGGGTGTGTGTGGTGTTTATGCGTTGTATGTGTCTGGGGATCGTGCTTCATACAGCATGTGTGGTTTGTGATTTCCTTGTGCTTGCCGTCGTGTGTGTGTGTGTGTGTGTGTGTGTGTGTGTGTGTGTGTGTGTGTGCTTGCTGCAACAAAGCGGTCTCGCCGACTACACACACTCATTTCGTTCCATCCCCTTGCCGGTACACACACACACACACACTTCTACACCTGCACACACGCACACACATTTGTACACACGCACACGCACACGCACGCACACACGCACACGCACGCACACAACGATCAACCAATGCACGAACCATGATTGCTGTTGCATGAGTTGACTTTGATTTGGGGCAGGAACGAAAAGATGTAGACTTGCCGGCAGACGCACCCAAGGCGTTTCTGCGACAGCAGCACATTGATTACATCGAGCAGTGGAACAAACGCAAGGGCGAGTTTGAGTATGTCATGTCAGAGTACCTGCGAATGAGCGGCCTGTACTGGTGTGTGACAGCGCTTGAGTTACTGGACTCCCGCGACAAACTCGACACGGCCGCGGTGCTGAAGTTCATCGATGAGTGCTTTGACGATGCGTCTGGTGGGTTCTCCGCCAGCCAGGGCCACGACCCGCATCTGCTGTACACGCTGAGTGCCGTCCAGATCCTGTGTATCTACGACGCCATGCAACAGAAGTACGTGGATGGGGCGTGCAAGTTCATCGCAGCGCTGCAGCGGGAGGACGGGTCGTTTCAGGGAGATGAGTGGGGCGAGGTTGACACGCGCTTCTCCTTCTGCGCACTGGCTGCCCTCAGTTTGTTGGGCAAGCTCGATGCCATCAACGTTGACGCTGCGGTGCAGCACGTGCTTCGCTGCCTCAACTTCGACGGCGGCTTTGGCGTCGGCACAGAGTCTGAATCACACGCGGGCCAAATCTATTGCTGCGTGGGCGTGCTGACCATTGCAAACCGCCTGTACAGCATTGATCAGACCAAGCTGGGGCTGTGGCTCAGCCAGCGGCAGCTGGAACGGTCGGGCGGGTTCAACGGGCGCCCAGAGAAGCTGCCGGATGTGTGCTATTCGTGGTGGGTGCTCTCGAGCATACAGATGCTGCAGTGCCAGGACTGGATTGATGCAGATCGCCTCAAGGCATTTATCCTGGCTTGTCAAGACGACGAATCAGGTGGAGAGATGAGCGCTTGTGTGTGTGTGTGTGTCTGTCTGTCTGTCTGTGCGTGTTGTTTGTGTTGTGTGTGTGTGTGATTGTCCTTGCATCCATTCGTCTCTGTCTCTCCGTGTTCTTGCCGGAAGCACGCCACACACAAGTTCACACGTGCACACGCACACGCACACACACACACACACACACACACTTCCAAGGCGGGTTTGCTGATCGGCCTGGGGACATGGTGGACCCGTTCCACACACTCTTTGGCATCGCTGCTCTATCCATGCTGGGAGAAAGTGACATTGATCGTGTCAACTGTGTATACTGCATGCCACACCGCGTGATCCAGCGCCTAGGACTGGCATAATATGTGTGTGTGTGTGTGTGTGTGTGTGTGTGTGTGTGTGTGTGTGTGTGTGTCTGTGTGTCTGTGTGTTCTTGCTTCCGTCTCCTCTCCCCCCCCCCCCCTCTGTGCCAAGTGAAATGAAACCTTCTTGATGCGATCAATAAACTGACCAATGCCAGCCTGCTGGTGTGAAAGTGATGTCTGTTTGATGAAAGAATCTATGGGAGTGCTGTGTGGGACGGCAGCACGTCATCAAGAAAAAGCATACGCAATGGCAAGGCACAGCAGCAGCGCTGGCGCTCGGGGAGAACGGATAAAGCAGGCCACACGCAAAAGCACACTCTCGCCCACTTCATGTCAGCGCATCGCAACGTGAAGCGGCAGAGTCAGGGGACACAACGACAAGGACAGACGCACAACAAAGAGTAGACAGAAACACGGAGTCCCTTTTCTCTTCTCCTCATGCTCAGAAGAGCTTGACCTCCTTCTTCTTGCCGTTCTGCTTCCACTTGGGCAGGGCGTTGAACTCTGCGCGCGTCATCTTGAAGATCTTCTCAAACTCCTCGTCCTCGAGGTACTGCTCCTTGGCGGTGACGTCGACCGTCTCCGGCACGGGACCATCGCGCAGCAGCTCATAGGGGTACTTCTTGTTGCCAGACCACTCGTCGAGCGCAGCCATGGCGTCGACGCCCTCAACCTCGCTGCCAAGCTTGGCCTTGAGCTCCTCGTAGCTCATGCCCTTGGACCACATGTCGTCGTCCCACGCGTGGAAGTGGCAGCGGAAGTTGGTTGGCTCAAAGCCCTGCTTGATCTGCATGATGCACGTGTCGTCGACGGTGCGGCCAGAGGGATCTGTCTTGACGTAGTCGACGGCAGCCTGCAGCGCGCCCTTCTTCTCCTCGGGGTTGGCGTTCTGGCCAATCCACACAAACACCTCAAAGTAGGTGTCCAGCAGCATCACATCGTCCTCAATCAGATCCTATCATGGTGTGAAAGTGTGTGTTGTGAGAGATTGGTGTGATGAAAGGAAGAGGGCGATGGTGCCAAGTGTGAGGGGATAAGGAGAAACGTGTGTTGCGCAGCACTCGGATGTGCCAGGCATGAAACAGCAACAAGGTTTCCAACAATATGGACGCAAAGCAAATGGCACATTGAGAGAAAAGTAACTCAAACAGCAACAACAACAACAGCAGCAGCGGCAGCCCTCACGTTCTGATCAAAGTCGAAGATCTCCTCGACGTAGAAGTAGCCGCGGGCGTTACTGCACTGGAACAGGCGGGGCTCGTGGTACTCCTGGATGGCCTGCTCCTTGAACTCGGCGTAGGTGGGGCGGCCCTGTGTGTCAATGTCCCAGCCAAGACCCTGCCAGAACTCCTTGGGCTCCTGGCCCTCGGTGATGGCCTCAAAGCTGGCGCCGCGCTTGGGGCACACGCGCTTGACAATCTGCTTGGCGTACTCGCGCTCGTCACCGGTGCAGCCCTTGCCGTACCACAGGAAGACGTTCTGCGGGGTCTCAAGAATGAAGACGTCGCCAGAGTTGAGGGACTTGGGCTCCTCGTCAACCTGGATGGCGCGCGTGTTCCACTCGTTGGTGCCGCGGACCTGGAACAGGCGGGTGCCGTCCGTGTCGTACGAGTCCTTGTCGTCGACGTTCTTCCAGCCAGAGGCGTGGCCGCCCTCATGCACAACCATGCCGCCAAACTGCTTCATGACGAGGTAGAAGTGTGGGGGCTCCTTGTTCTGCACCACGCGCACCTGCACGGGGGCGCCGCCGTACTGGTCGTCGAGGTCGACGGCGTGCTTGGCAGAGGCGCCGCGCTCGTCCTGGGACGACTTGTTGCCCTGCCAGAAGTAGATGATGTACTCCTCCTTGCTGTTGCGCAGGTACGTGTACAGCATCACATACGAGTCGCCAGAGTAGAAGTGGCCGTGCTGGTCCTTGGGCACAGGCGCCATCTCAAAGTTCTCGATGCGCCACACCTCGAGCTTGCCCTTGCCGTCATCCGGAAGGTTCGCCTTCTGGCGCTCACCCTGTTTGATGGTGACAAAGCAAGGGTGAGTAAGCATGTGAGTGAGAGTGTGTGTGTGTGTGTGTGTGTGTGTGTGTAAGCGTGTGCGTGTGAGCGTGTGTGTGTGTGTGTGTGTGAGCGTGTGTGTGCGTGTGTGTGGATGATGAAAGCGCGAAAGCAACGAATGAAAGTACGAGCGAGCATCGTGGGTGCAAGAGAATAATGACAACAACAAGAGTACGCCATTCCGACGACGCAAGGCACGTCTAAACGCTCACACATGTACAACCACGTGCACGCACCGCGCTGTGAAGGGTAGCGGCAGAGAACTGGCGCTTGATGAACTTCTTCTTGCGGATGCCGGTCTGGCCAGGGAGGAGGGCGTTGGCCTCCTTCCAGCCGGGGAAGTTCTGCTTGAACAGCGGCGTCTCGCCACCCTCAACAACGCGAGTGACAGGGGTGTGGT